AGCGTTGGTAAAATTTTCCCTCTTCACCCCTTTCCCCATTTTTGCCCCCAAGGCCCAAAATTTCTTTGTCCCCACAATTTCCAAAGGGTGCACCACTCACCCTTTTCCCCTCTTTAAAAATTCTAGATTAAACCTCATTTTAAAACCCCCATTCCCCGGGGACCTTTCCACCCCCCAAATATCTAAATACATTAAACCCCCCCTCCATCCCCTTCCCCCTTTCCAACTGAATCCAATCTTTCATCACCTAATTTTTTTTGTTTTTCCTTTCTTTAACCCTTACTTTTTTCCTGTATTATTTTTAATTTTCTTTTTTGCATACCCTTAAAACCAAAATTTTCCCACCAATCTCGCAACTTCTTTTCCAAATCTCCAAAGAGCCCCAGTGTCATACAAGAGAAAACTGGGGGGCCCAATCCCACTTTAGGGTGTGATTCTTTTTTTTTAAAAAACTCCACGCCCTTGAAAAGCCCCTCGCTTTTTACTTCTCTTAAACCCCCCCATCTATAAATATTTTAAAAACAACCATGGGGGACATCACCCCCCCCCTTTGTCTAAGGGCCAAAATTTTAGGGGAAATAATTTCCCTTTCCAAACATCCCTCTAACTTGAGCCTCACTATCCTCGTAAAAATCTTCATGCTTTCAAAAACCTACCTCCTACACCACACACCTGAAAACATCTGCCCCACCCCCCCCCAAATCCCCCCTGTCATTTTCCCTTTTTCCCAAATCCATAAATGCCAAAAAAGACCTTTTTACCCTTATCTAAATTGCCCCCTTATGTGTTTCCCCGGGAAAAACACCTGATCCACACACCCCCAAACCTTTCCTAAAGCCCCCTTGTTCATCTGCTATCCTATTTTTTTGTTTTTACTTTTAAATTTTCTTTAAATAAAAAAACTCTACCATAAAATTTTACCTGGTACCAAAAAAAACTTTTTCCCCTTTTAATTTTTTTTTGCCCCCCTCTCTTTGTCCCCTTCCCTTTTATACAAAAAAACTATCCCCCATGCTCTCTGCCAATCCCTGGGTCCCCTTACCCTTTCCATACTTTTTATTAAAAAATTTCCCACCAACCACCCCAAAAATTTATATCCCCCCCCTTTGCTTTTAACATTTCTATTTTTATCCCATCAATCCCCGCTCCCTTTTCCCTTTCCTTTTCTTTTTTACCTCGGGCCTCTAAACTTCCCCCCCCATTTTAAAAACGGGGCTCTTCCTCACTCCAAACAAAAAAATTTTTTATCCCCCCTTGCCCTAAAACACAAAATTTCACAGTTTCCCCTTTTTCTTCATCAACATTTAAAAAATTCCTCAAAATATTTTCCACCTTCTTTCCCCAAAACCCCTTTAAATCTCCCCTTTTTAAAAACTCTCCTCTCCTATTTTTAAAAATGACAAATCCATTTTTTTCTCCCAGGCTTCCTTAAAATTGGTTTAAACTCACTCCAAAATTTTTCTTTTTTTTTCAAAAAAAAATTTTTTTTTTTTATTTTAAAACTCACCCTCTTTTTCAATTTTTCTCTCTTTTTTTCATTGCTTTAAACCCCCTCTCTTAAACCTCTCTCTTTTTCTTTCCAAAACTCTTCCCCCCTTGCAAACACTTTTTACTTTTTAAAAAAACCCCTTTTAAAAGCTAACTTTTTTTTCCCTTTTTTACTCTCTTTTCATCATTTATTTTTCCCCCAATCGCTCCTCTTCCCTTTTCCCCCCACCCCCTTTCCCCGTAAACCCCAAACTTTGCTGAACCCCTAAAAAAATTAAAATTTTTAAAAACCCAAACCCCATCTTCTTTAACCCCCTGCCTTGCTCTCATTAGCCAACTATCCTCCAATAGGGTTTTTTTTATCTTACCCTTTAAATTTCCTCCTCTTTTAGTTTTAAACCCTTAACCCCCTCCTTCCCTGATGCTTTTTATTCTCCTTTTATCCCATCTTCCTTTTTTCTCTCCCGTTGCTAAAACTAAAAAGGATTTTGATATAAACGTGGCCCCTCTAAAAAAAATTTTTTACATCCCGAAGTTTACTCAACCCGTCTTTATCACAAATACATAATCCAAAAAAACTACTGTCATTTCGCCCTACACCCAACTTGTTACTTATTTATTTCCCCTTTTTCCCTTTAAAAAAATGGGATTACCTATAAAATAAAAAAACCCCTTTTTTTATACAAAGTTTAAAAACAAAGGGTCCCATTTTCATTTTCACTGGGGACCCCAAAAATTACCTTTTCCCACCCTCTATTAAATTTTCCTACTTTAAACATTCAGGGCCCCCAAACCCCAAATTTCTCTCTCACTTGGGTTTAAAGCCCCCTATACATTCCCCTTTTAACCAAAACTCCCCAAAAACTCTCTTTCCCCCTACATTTCCCTCTTCTCCAGGGCAACAACCCCTTAATTTTGACCCAATTTTCGATCCAACCTTTTTCTTTTTTAATTTCCCAAATTCTTGAATTTTCACATTTTGGGTTTTTTTCTCCTTCCATAAGATCCTTCAACATTACTTTCTACCCCTTCCTTTTCTCTAACTCTCTCAGTACTCCCGATTTTTTAAAACCATTTTTTTCCCCCCCACCCGGAAAAATTTTCCCTTTCCCCCTTCAGTTTGTTTCGCTTAGGGGGCCCGGGGCATCCAACTTCCTTTTTTTAAATTTATAACATCAGGGAAACATCTGTTTTTGTCATCCGCCTTACAAACCACGCACTTCAAAACATTCCCCGGGTTTTTTAAAAGTTTTTTTTTCTTCTCTTTTTTGTAAAAGTCTACAGGAGAAGGGGTTTCTAGCCCATTGGGTCCCGGGGGATTTTAGTTCCCCCCTAAAACGACCCTGGGATGGGGTTACGGGGGGGAGGAAAGATTCTTTTTCCCCGATGTAAATGAGGAAAAAAAAAGTTGGGCCAAGAAAAACTGCCCTGGGGGCCCCAACTAAAAAAAAGTTGTGTAGTGGAGGCAAAAACCCCTTTGGGTAAAACGTAGATACTGGTGTCTATTGCTTAAAGGGTTTTTAAAAATAGCCCGGTGAGGTCCTTGGGCCCTTTTTAACAGCCCTTTTTTGATGGGAAGAAAACATGGTTCCCAAATGTTCAAATGCTTTTTCCTAGGGGCCCAATTTTTTTTCCCGTGGCCCCCTATTTTTAGTAGCTAAGGGATATGCATAATTCCCTCATTTTGCTTTTTTTTGGGCCCAAAACCCCAAAATGGCGGGGGTTTGTTTGTTGTGGGGGCACCAAAGGGGTTTTTATTTTTTTAAAAAAATTTTTGAAAAGATTTTTGGAAAGTTTTTTGGGCGTATAAATAAGTCTTAAAGAGCCACCGTTTTTGACGTATATATGTATATCATAAATTCTAGCGGCTTCAAATCAAAACAGGGGAGAAACTGGTAGGCCCACATTGGGAAAAATGGGGCTGTGTGGTTTAAATGTGCCCCCTTAAAAAAAAAAAATCCCAGGCCACAAAAGTGCTAATGGGGGAAAAAAAACTCCGCCATTTTTTTTAATTAAAAAAAGCCGGGCTTTTGGTCTATTTTTATTTTAGCATTTTTGGTTGTATTCCCTTTTTTTCTTTTGGGCTCATCTGATAAAAAAGGAAAAAAATATAGAAATTGGGGGTTTTTCCCTTGGGTTTTAAATTTTTGGGAAAAAAACCCTGAAAAGGAGCTCAAAAGTAGGGGAAAAGTTTGATTTTTGCCCATGTTCCCAAAAGTAAAAAAAATAAGGAATTTTTCCCAAAAAAAGTCCAAGAAACCATTCTAATATGCATCATGAAAAGGGTTGGGTGTTATTTATACCCAAAATTTTTACAATTTTTGCATAGTCCGAAAACAGTAAATCTTCTATTTTTTGTTTTTAATTTAAAAAATTTAAAATGAAAGCAAGGAAATAATATCAAGGGGGCCCGGAGACGTGACTAATGAACAAAGAAAAAAGTTTATTTTTTGGGGCCAAGGAAGTCTGCACTGTTCATTTTTTAAAACCCCATTTTTTAAAAAATTTCCCATATTTTTTAAATTTTTGTGAAAAAATTTACCAAATTGCAAATTTTTGACCCCCGTTATTGGGTATTGAAATCGGGAAAATGGGGGAGTTTTTTTGTACCCCAATCGATAGAAAAAATGGGAGGGTTTTAATGAAATTTGCTATAAAATTTTTGGGGGACGGGAACCCAAAGGACCAAAACCAAAAAAAAGAGCCAAAAGGGGCGAAAACGCCGATTCGTAAATATGCTGAGGTCGCTAACTTTGCGAAAAGGTTTAAAACCGTTTAGGGTTTCCCCCTCAAAATTTTTTTCTTTTTGGGGCATTTTCAATCGGGAAAAAGGTTTTCTTTTTATTTTATTTAAAAAAAAATAAAAAAAAAAATTTTTGGGAATTTTTTCGGCACCAAAAGGGGACACCTCAGGATTTTGGGGTTGGGGACAGTCAAGGGGGTTTAAATTTAGTAAGGGGTCCCCTCCTTTGGGATTTTGGTTTTACCCCTTGTTGGCTTGAGTAGGGATTGGGGAAAGGTTTTAAAATTCTTTGGGCTTGTTTTAAAAAATTTTTACAAAAAATTTGGGTTTAACCAAAAAACGAGAAGCTTTTTTTTACTAAAAAGGGGGGTAAAGCTTTTTTAGGTCCCCTTTCCTCATTCTTTTTGTTTTTTGATATTTAGTGAGGGTTTCGTAGGGGGTTTTTTTTGGGGGTTTTGGAAAAGGGGTATTTGGGTAGTTGCCAAAAGAGTTTTTTTTTTTTTGGGTTTCATCCCAGATTTTTTTAAAAAACTGTGCCCCACCGAGTGTAAAGGGGCCCATTCAATACCAACCAGGCATCTCAGGCCAATCGTCCCAAATTTGGAGGCAGGAAAAATAAAACGTATTTCTACCTTTGGAGCACTAGTAGTAATAGCATAGATCTACGTTTGGACAGTTAAGGAGTTAATGTATGTATTGAAAATACAACAAATAATATAATAATAATAATAATAATAATAATAATAATAATTGAAAAACAGCAACTTACCACTAATGTTTTAATAAGAGTATCAGGAAGTTGGCCAGACACTATAGAGTAAGCAAAATAGGAGGCAGCAGCTGTAGGGAGAATCACTGTAGGTGAGAGTTGACCAGTGAATGCCAGAAACACTGCCACCATCACTACATCTTGAAGAACCATTAATGGGTACTCAAAGTATGTGCTGAGAGCATAAGCTGAATACACGTTGTAGCTCAGCATAATGGTGTAGCTGCAAATAACAACAAACATAAATATTCTGACAAACTAGACCTGCATAAAATAACTGATAAATATTTTTCTTATTCATGCAGCAGCTGTAGGTCTGGTAGCTAATTGAGCATCAAAATTAATTTTAAACTATATACCTTAAATTCCAACATACAGTAGACCCTCATATTACATGGTAGTTATGGTCCTGAATATATTGTGTTAGATAAACTGAAGAACTCATGGGAAAAATAGTGTTACATTCCTGCAACCCCCGTCCCCCCAAGCCAAACAACTTTTTTTTAGACATCCAGATCTTACAAAAATAAAAATGATAATGTTGTTTTTGTTGCTTAAGACTACAAATGCAAGAGAAATAATATTATTTACCTTAAATTGTGGTTACTGGTGAATGTCAGCGATTGTGAAGAGAGTGGAGTTGCATGGTGTAGCGCCACTGGGCTGAGGAGGATGGTTGTAAATTGTGGTTACTGGTGAATGTCAGCGATTGTGAAGAGAGTGGAGTTGCATGGTGTGGTGCCACTGGGCTGAGGAGGATGGTTGTTGGTTGTCAGCAGAAGTGGATAGTTTAGGTCGTGGAGTGTGCATAAATTCTGTAATGGATCTCTGTTTTCTTTTGCCCTGCATTACACTGTACCAAAAGCTTGGTACTGCCAGGATGGAGTCAGAGTCCATTGATAAAACTAGGTTTTTTCATCACTTTTCTTGTGTAATTACACTTGAATGACTTAATAACTCCCCAATCCAGTGGTTGTATTAAAGATGTTGTATTTGGAGGTAAAAATACAACTTTTACATGTGGGGGCACATCCAGCGAAGCTTGTGGATGAGTACAGGAATTATCAAGAATGAAGAGAGCATTGAATGCAAGGTTCTTGCTGTGCAAGTAAAACTTGACTTCAAGAATAAAGTGATGCTTAAACCAGTCAATAAATATTTCCTCTGTCATCCATGCTGACTGGTTTGACCTCCAAATTACTGGTAAGGTGTTTTTATCTACACCTTTCAAAGCATGAGGATTCTGAGAGTGGTAACTAACCATGGGCTTACACTTGAAATCACCTGACGCATTACCGCAAAGGAGCAAGGTGAAGAGATCCTTTGCTGCCTTGAAGCCCGGTGCAGCCCCGCAGAGACAGTGGTCTCACCCACAGCCAGGCGGGGGCTTGAGCTAGGGAAATATCCCATGAACGATGCTCAAAATTTTTTCCCCTCCCACAAACTGAACCGTGATAAGTTAATTTTACAAAGTGTTGTATAAAATTATATTGCAATTTTTTAACAGTGTAATAACCAAAATTTACCAAATAAATCCATGTAATATGAGGGTGTACCACAACATAAAAAAAAAACTGGATTAGTGATTTATCAGTTATAATATGTACTGAGTATGTGTTTATACAGAGGACCCATGTTTACCTGGAGTTTACCTGGAGAGAGTTCCGGGGGTAAACGCTCCGCGGCCCGGTCTGTGACCGGGCCCTCCTGGTGGATCAGAGCGATAAACCCGGGGCTGTTGTGCTGGCTGCACGCAAAAAACGTACGAGCCACAGCCCGGTGATCAGGAACTGACTTTAGGTGTTGTCCAGTCCCCAGCTTGAAGACTCCGGGGTTGTTGGTAATCCCCCTTAGGTGCTGGGAGGCAGTTGAAAGTTGGGGCCCCCCTGACACTTTTGTATGGTTCTTAACGTGTAGTGCCCCCTGTTTTCTTTTGGGGGGATGGGCATGTTCCAAGTTTCTTTTGCTTTCGTAGTGGGAGTGTTTTGTGTGGAAAAAGTTGGTACTAGTCCCTCTGGTTTTCCAGGGGTTTTTAATCTGTATCTTCGCCGCGTTCCCAGGGAATCGGTTTAGGAACCTAAAGCGCTCCAGTAATTGGGGTGTTTTATCTCGTTATGGCCCCGGAAAGTTCTCTGTACTTTTCTGGTGGGGCAATTTCACCTGCCTTGAAAGGGGGGCTGTTAGGTATAAGAACTTTGTATCCCAGTTTTTTGATAAAATATTTAAAGAAATAGAAATAAATTTGTATGCATGCCAAAAAAATTTGAAATAATCATGTAAAATTTGGGGAAAAAATATATGGCATACTGCTTGTTCTTATCCTCCCTGCGGCAAGTGTAAGACATGGCCACTGTTTTTATAGGGGGGGAAATGTTTCACTTTTAAATTTAAACAACCCCCCATGCCATCATTTCTATGTGTTCTTTCCATATGTACTAAGTCATATGAAAGTGAATCAATTTTTTATCTTTTTTATCAGCCCACTGGTTTTGGATAGTAACCCGACACCCAAAGGAATACGGTGATGATGAAAGTGCAAAAAAGTTTAAAATTTAAACTTGGAAAAATGGATACTTTGACAAAAAATTTAGTTTAAAAGATTGCCCAAAAGGGTGATATGTGATGGAGATGGTCTAAATGAACATCAATTTTTTTTAATTAAAATGAATGAGGAAAAAAAAAATGAGTTTGGCAAAGAGTACCCGGTTGTGACCTGTAGGATGTAAAAAGATAAATAAAACAGAAAAAATAGAGGTGAAACGGCAGAAACTAAAAGACCCGACCCCATAATTTCAAAAAATAAAATAATAATAATAATATAATAATAAAAATAATAAAATAATTTTTTATTTCAGTTGACCAGTGGTTAACAAAGGAGAATGAATGACTTTTGGTGTACATGCCCAAAATCCCCCGTATATGCATTTCGACAAAATTTAAAAAAACTTAAGATTAAAAGGGAAAAACAATAAGTTTAAAAATTTAAGAGTTTACAAATAAAAACCACAAAGATGTAGTAGAAGTTTTTTCAGAAAAAATTGAAAACCAAAACCTAGTCAGTGGTTGTTATAAGCTCCCAGTTCAATTTAACATATCATTGCCAGAGTAAGAAAAATTTTTGGGTTATTTAGCAAGTTTACAGGCACTAATTTTTACAGTAGATGATGTTTTCAAGAACTCCATTAATTCAGTTAAAATTCAAAAAACTAAAAAAAAATTCTTTTGGGTTAAGTTTGTAAGGTTATGGTGCATTTTTTTATATTGGTGGCTTTGGCTAAACTCGAATTTTTGGGAAGCAGTGACTATACACGTTTTAAAATACTTTCAAAATCAAAAAGTAATAAAAAAACCTGAAAAAAAAAATAATTCAGAGAAAAGTGGTCGTGGGAAAAAGGTAGGTGGTTTACAATGCATTTTTAATTTTGACGACAAAAATAAATAAGCAAAGCAGATACTTTAAAGGTTGAAAAAAAATTCGAAAGGCTTTTAGAATAAATTAAAATATTTCTGGATCACATGAGGTAAAGTGTTTTTCTTACAGTAGTTTTTTGAAGAGCTGGCGATAGAGAGGTCTGGAGTTATCGGGTAGTTTTCAAAAATTCTGGGACTTTTTTTATGTACACTGAGTTTTACAAAGGTTAAGCCCAACATGGGGGATATCATATGATTTCGTGTCTAGTGCTGGTCTTGAGTTCTGGACAGCTTTTAAGTTTTCAGGTTCGATGATATCTGAGTTTATGTCTTTTTAGTAGTAACCACAATAGTAAGAGTGAATGCTATGTATTCAACCCTTTCAGGGTCAAGACCCCTGTTCTCAAACTTGCTCTCAAGGTTGAAGAATTTTCTGGGGAAAAAAAAATGAAGTGATAGAGAATTTTTTTCCAAAGGTAATGAAACCAAAAGTATGAAATTTGATGGAAAACTTGCAGAATTACACTTGGCGATATTTACACATGGGCAATTTCACCACTTTTCATCTCATTTTTGGCCATTTCAATTATGCAAATCGACCAAACTTATAGTTATTTCACTAGTATTCCCTCTTATCAAAAGAGTAGAAGAAACTGCCCATTTACCTATTTCAACTACCCAATAAAGTGATCAGAAAACAGTAATTTGGCTAATTTCACACAAAATTCAAAAATTTATAATATAAACAATAGGTCCAGAATAAACACTGTAGACATTCCTGGCATTTAAAAACATTTCCTGAGTCACATTTCAAGGCCTCTCTTACCATTCTGAATTTTTATTCACACAAAAACTATATGATTTCCTGTCATGAAGAATACTGCATTATTGCAATAATTGTATAAATAATGTCAGTGCATTCCTAAATGCATATTAGACTGGCAAGCTGGACGAGTATTTGTCTATTCTGGAATATCACAAAACTCAAGCATTTCTGCCATTTTGAGCTCAATTTCAAGTTACTTTCATTTATGAAACCAATCAAAGTCATCTCTATTTCTGTATTTTATCTTCCATTCTATCAAATGAGACCAAGAAACCGAGAATAAAACAATAAAATCCATATGAAAATACACTGCAAAGTTGCTGTTTTGAACCATAAACACAGTCATAGCTTTTTCTCATTATGCATTGCGCACTACAGGATTTTTTTATATGGAGCACACTTACTGTATAGACCCGTTCCTTCATATCTAGGCCAAATTTACCGCTCACAGCTTATCTGAGTGAGCTGAGCTCATGGCACCGTACTACAGGACTAACACTGGCTTCAAAGCCGTTATACAACAGGACTGGCACTGAAAGGGTTAACCCTTTCAGGGACGAGAGGCCCTCTCCAAAACTTGTTCTCAGGGTCGAAAATTTTTCGGAAAAAAAAAAAAATAATTTTTGTCTTATGAAATGATAGAGAATCTTTTCCCGATCATAATGACACCAAAAGTATGAACTTTGATGGAAAACTTATGGAATTATGCTCTCGCAAAGTTAGCGGTCTCGACAATGTTTACGCATCAGCAATTTTGCCCACTTTGAGTCATATTTTTGGACAATTCCAGTGTACTAGTCAACAAAAATCATAACTATTTCACTAGAGCTCCATATTTTCTATTGATTGAGTACAAGAAACCACCCATTTACCGATTTCAACTATCCAATAAAGTGGTCAGAAATTGGCAATTTTGCCAATTTCACACAAATTTCAAAAGATGCCGGTTTCCAAACAGGGTCCAGAATAAACAAGACAGACATTCC